TATATATAGCACGGACAACTAACATTCCATATGGGTTGTGCTAAACACAGGTGCGGCTACCAATTCGACAACAGCACCGGCGGCGAATATCTGACTATGAAGAGCGGGTGCGAAGCTGAAGGTAGGACACGCATGCACATACTTAGTACGTATGGATATGCTAATAACACACAGGCACATACTTAGTACTTATGGATATGCTAATAACACACATGCACATGACAATAGCACACATGCACATGCAGCCCCGGTTTGACCCGTTTTTGCCGTCTCACATAGCGCAGATGTTGACCTGTTTTCTTGTATGAAACTTGGCCCACAAGTTATTGTGTTCTCAATCGTCCCGGTTTGTTCCATTTCTGCCATCTCATATTGCGCAGATATGGACATCATTGCGCGAGAGAATCGAAAACACGAAACGGCGTTTTCGGCCAAGAAAATTGAGGATAACTTCAGCAACTACTCGTCGTGGCACTACAGATCGAAACTACTGCCACAGTTGTACAAGGACGGAGTCAAAGCTGATATTTTGCTGAACGGTGTGCATATGTGTATATGTGTACATGTGTATATGTATGTATGTGTATATATTTTTGTGTGTCTATGTGTATATGTATATAAGCGTCTATGTATATATGTGTATATATTTTTATGTGTCAGTGTGTCTATGTGTTTGTAAAGGTGGGGATCCCTGTTATTGTATGCTGTTCTTTTTTTCCTAGTGAGTTCGGGATCTATGTGTCAAGAAATTCAATCTCCAACTAACCGAGTATGAGAATACCCATAGGGAAATATCACTGCGCATGTAATTTTTATGTCTCACAAACAGCGCAACTGCCTGTGATATGAGGTTCACTCTCATATTATGCGAAAGCTTTACAAATATCGTATAAGCTAATGAGCATCATTATGTATCCGTATGCCGGTGTTATACACATTCATCAGTTGTTTCAGTTTTATATCCATACCAGCCTATCTGAATGTTTCAAGCACCCTAGCAACGAGTTTAACATCATTATATTTTACCACCGTCAATTGCAGAGCTGGATATGGTGCAGCAGGCTTGCTTCACTGAGCCCGAAGATCAGAGTCCGTGGCTATACCTCCGGTGGCTTTTACGACAGAGGACAGGTATGGCTTTTATATATATATATAAGTGTGTGTGTGTGTGTGTATGTATCTGTACATGTAAATTTATATGTATATGTATATATATATATATATATGTGTGTGTGTGTGTATGTATATAAATGCATGTATATATATTATATATATGTTATATACATGTATCTATAGATATATATATACATATATATAATATATATATGCGTGTATGTATGTATGTATAGATGTATATGCGTGTGTTTGTTTAGTAATGTATCTGTCTGTACCTGTGTTTGCGTGTTTGTGTGTGTGTGTATGTGTGTGTGTGTGTGTATGTGTGTGTGTGTGTGTGTGTGTGTTGTGTGTGGTGT